CCCACAACTGTCTTGATTTTGCTGTCGTAGCACATAGCCTTTTATTGCAGAATCTGCTAGAGTTGTATTGTAACTTTGTATCTGCAGCATCTGCCAATTTTTCTAGCCTTACACTTTCGTGACTTAAAAGCAAAGTAAGTCTTTAAGGTAGAGTAGGAAAAAAATCTTTAACTCCCGACTGTTATTGTCTCACAATTTTAGGAGAGTGCAGAAATGTCTCCCTTCGAAAATAAAGGACTAATACTGGGCATAATGGCAGGGACTGCTGGAATAAGCCTGATGCTGATTTGGTACCGTAAGATCCGAAAACCCAGTGCATCTGTGCGTATACCTGTGTTCCGAGATGTAGGTAACAGGCTTAATTCTGTGGGCTTGCAAAATGAAGCTCCTAATGAGCAAGGAGTAGTAATGGTTTTACACGGAAGGCAACTGCAGATACTAGAAAAATTGAATGGCTTGCTAATAAGTGTGGACGAACTGAAGAGAGAGGTGAAGTTTCTGAAAGAAGCTATTCCAAAACTTGAAGAGCTTGTTCGAAATGAGCTTCAAGGGAAGGGAGGTGTTCAGAGAGTTAGCCCATCACACAGAGCAGCAAAGCGGAGGAAAGCTGAGACAGCTTCTGGTGCAACAGAAACTACCAGCTCTGAGGAGGCCGAAAGTGAAGGAGGGTGAGTCAATCATATTTTCTATATACTACAGTACACATACAGTACAAATTGCATCATTATCTTTGTGAAACTTTGTATTGTAGACAGGAGTCCTTTTAAAGTTTTATGTGTATTTTATATTTCTCTGTATTCAGGGGGGGAAAAAAACCCCAAAATTCAGATTAGTACTTTTTAGATCAGAGAAAACTCTGGGTGACCATCTCTGAATCTGCAGTAGAGCTGACGTTGGCTGGACACCAAGCATAATAGAGATTTTTAAGGGTGTATTTGGTAACAATCTGATACGGTATTGCTATATCGCTATGCAATGAGAGCACAAGTTCAGAATAATGGTGTGATTTTAAAAGTCCTTCTAGTAAGAAAGTAGTCTTGTCTTGTGTCTCTGACAGAATTTGTTCAAACTGTACGCATGCTCTTGTGCTTTTCGTGATAGTTGTCTTCTATGGGCCTTAAAGACGAGCTATTACAGCGTTCTGCCTAAAGGTATTACATGCTATGAAAGCTATGTTCGAATGCAACACATGTACAAATGGCAGTATGTTTATGTATATTTGCTGTTGTATACACTTTCGGGTGGCTTAAAAAGTAATCATGAGGGATTTAGGGTACTGACTCAGTAAGGTAGAAAGTTCCTAGTTTTGATCACATCTTGTAGTCCCATTGTGGTTAATGGGATCTTTTATACGCGTGAGTTGAGGAACATGCTGAAGGATCAGATGTACCTGGAGTCCAAGGAGAAGGACTATATTTTTGTCTTTTCATACGTTACCTAATATAACCTCCAGTAGTAATGTAAAAATGGTGATGACATTACTCTCCTGTAATTGCAACTTTGTTTTGATACAATCAGATTAGATACTTATATGCAATTTAATAAGGGTGTGTTTATAGCAACTGCTTTTTTTGAACCATCTCTTCAGTGTGTTATACATACCTGTGTAGGCAGCATTATGTCTGTAAATTGCCTATCTTAAGTCACTTTTTTTCTTTAAAGATATATTAATTAACTGTAATATTTTGAAGACAGCAACATGCTGCATATAATAATTAATGGAATTCTGTTTTTTAAGAGTTCCTCCAAATTTATTTTCAGTTCCTGTGGGCAGAATTTCTTGTTGTGTTACATCCCAGCCCACATCCTTCACAAGTCTTATATTCTGATACTGTATTTTGAGACCTGTCAGTTCTATTATGAACCAGTTCTTTATTTTAAGTATTCAGTATTGGCAGGGGGATTCAAAGACATTCCCCTTCATATGGTGTAGAAACATTTCAGTTCTATTAGTTTCTCAGATTGTTTTACCCACTAGTTGGTTTGCAGAGGCCTTTATATTATGCATAAAATCTTTGGAGATGTAGATAAGGCTAAAGGACCGGTTTATGAATAGTCAGGTTCACAGATGCAATACAGGGGTTATTCCACACCTAGCGTTTGAGAAGATGCCGTTTTCTGGTCAGGAGAGATGTGTTGCTGTTTGGAAACTAGCCAAGGAAACTTGTCTGTTCAGGTTCTTCTGTGTGACGAAGCAGCTGATGAGATGATCCAATACAAGTGATTATAGTGTGCAAGAGCTTTGAATGTGTCCTTAAGAGAGGCCTTCTCTGGCAAGTATTTGTATACAGTCAGAAGGAAGATAATTCAAGGTTATAGATAGTGTTAGTCATTTGGGTATGTGCTTTTCCAATGCTATTTTTTAATCCCTTTTGAAAAGAGGTGTTTTTTTCCTACTAACACCTTGTACTTGATGTGCTTGTTTTGCATATCTTCTCTAAATTTAAGATAACTTTTTTCATTTAAGTAATTTTCTTCTTGTATTTTTTTTCTTCCTCTTGCAAATGTTAATCCTAATGTGTATATATAGCTTTGTATATATACACATTATAGCAATGCATATAGCTTTTTCTGAGGTCTTATGTAACGTTAATGACAGTGATGCATGTTCTATGAGAGTTTGCCATGAGAGATGATAACAACACACATTTTCTTCCGTTTAATGTGCATCACCACTTCATGTGCTGTAGGTATAACACTGTGTGCATTGTTTCATACTGTTCTGTGGTGAATTCCACACACAATAATGCATTCAGTTGCTAGTTTGTGCGCTAGAGAAATAATTTTTCTCTTTGTTACTGATTAAACATTTTTTCGCTTTCTGTATTCTATCTAAAGTACATGCAGCATGTTTCACTGCCTCGACAGTATTTTCATGATCTAGAAGATAGGATTTTGCTTGTGTTAAGCACTTCCGGTTTTAACTGACAAATGGGTACATGCTGGGAATTGACAGACAAAGTAATCTTAAGAGTTTTCTGGGCTTGTGCTGGATGACTACATTGGTTTCAGATTTGTAAACTTCTTCCAGAAAAGCTTTTAATACTACCTGTTTTTTCCATGAAATATTTGAAGCTGGCAGTCTCTGATACGGTCCTCACTGCTTTGATCTGCTCTGGTCATATTCTCAATATCACTGTTGGTATTCAACGCCTTGGGAAGAGAAGCTTTCTAGTTTGCCTTTCAAAGATTATATATTTCTGTAAGTGGAAAAATATCACATGCTTTTTAATAAGTGAGATATATTTTTACATACTGACAGATAGCCTGAATGGATGGGACATTGCCTGAATGCTAAAGAGCCTACGGTTTCTAGTCTGTGCTTTTCTGTATTCTATTCTTAATAGTTTGTTTCAGTTTCCATCATTTACTAGTGAAAACCTGTATCTTTAACATTTGAGACCGTGTAACAAGCACTCATTCATTTACAAATACAATAAATTGTGTCTAGATGATCACCTGGGATGGAGAGTGTCACCTGATTCTCCTCTTTGTGATTTTAAAGCTGTTTCCTCCCTGATACAGCAGTGATGAACCATTGACATCAGTATCATGTTTGGCACCAGCCTTCAGCTCGCCTGGCATCCAAGCTTTTCAAATTACATTTGGCATCAGTCACCAGAAAGATTGACTGCAGTAAATCCTTTTCCTACAGATGTTTTATTTATATTTTTTTCCTTGAAATAGTTTTAATATTTTTTTTTTGCCTTGCCTGCTTCTGAGTATCACTTCACTTACCATTTCTTCATTTCTTCATTTATTTTTGCTGCCCGTTTGTTTTCAATGCAACCCTCAGTTGACCTAAGAATCTGGTTTGCCAAACTTTTCCTTGAAGGCCACTTGTCATGACTGATGGATATGCACTCTGCTGGGTCATACAGTGCAAATTTGATCCAGAGCGGTCTGTGACACAGAATCACCTTTCTATTGAGTTAGCTGGAGTAGATGAGACGGTGTTTGTGTCAGCTTGTGATTTTTTTAAGTTGGCAGGGAGAGAACAGATGATATTTGATCTGTCTAAAAGCTGAAGTGTTGTGAACAGATGATACCTGGTTAGGCCCAGCGTCTGCCAATTTACAGGCAATCCAACACAGTTTTTGAACCAGCAAAGTGAGTATATACCACAGCGGTGTTTTATACTGTGTAACTCAGTTTTTTCTTGATGCAGTACTAGGTGCCTGAATTTACTGAACAGCTTAACCTGTGTGGTGAGTCTCCAGCACAGTTTCCATTTGTTCCATTTGTTCTTTGAACTTTGAACAGTCCTTTGTGATCCAACCGAGTCCTGTTGATTGATCGTTGCTCCTCACATTCTTACTACTGTTTTTCTCTTTTAAATAAAATCTAAAGGTGAAAACAAGTTGGCACTGATTGTAGACATTTTTAAAGTTCTTCCATTTCCTCAAATATTGGTCAATGTGTTTGTCACATGTAAATACTCACTTTTCTATTTATCAGCTGGTAAAACCTCTTGCAGGAAAATACCAGGTAAAATTGCAGATGTTAGTGTTGTTACATGAAATATTTGTAAAACAAACCATAATGACTCCTCCTCATTTTGTGTCAATTTCCCTTTTGGATTAGTGTCATCAGCCCTTAGACTCTTGGAGTTTTTAAACTGTGTTAAAAAGAATCTCCACTTCTGTTTGTGTTAGTACTGATTTTTTTTTTATAGTATTGCTCTTCATAACATGCTTTTCTAGAAGGAGTAGAGGTATAAGCCTGCTAGCTGCTTTGTTGAAGTCAGTTATCAAGCTCTTCTTATCTTAGTTTTATATCAATAATATCTGTTACACTCTTATTTTGTCCTTAAGTAGCTGGAAGGACTTCCTATCTTGTAATAAAACTGGCTTCAGTTCAAATTGGTAAAGGACAGCTTACCCAAGTTGTTAAGAAAAAGCTGTTTATTTTTTAAAAATCTGTATTGCCTTCTTAACATGTTATGGTTTTATGCTTAAAACTTTTCAGCTATGGTAAGGATTGAATGGAGAGCTAGTAAGAAAATGGACATCATCAGAAACAAAACAGAAAAACATTCTTTATGTCTAGTTTGCCACAATGTTTGAAGTGATATTTAGTGTTTTATACTTGGTTAAATTACCTTGCTGTCATTTTACCCCCATGACTCCTGAGCAATGGAGGAGTTTGCCTGGCGTGTGTGACTAGTGGGGTGGGAACTCATCACAAATAAGTCACGAAGCCCTTGGCTGTCACCTTGGTGCTTTTCCTGTGGAAAATGCAGCAATGTCAGTTCTGGAGCCAAAGAAGAAGGGACAAGGAAGAAAGGACCCTCTGAAGGCACTATGAAGTTACTGTTCTGAGGAAAGAAAGGAAAAATTTAGAGAAATGCTGACGCATCTCGGGCGTAACTAGCATGCCCAATCTTAAGCACTAGCAATTGTTTGCACTCCCTTGGACGTTTTGGTATCAGGACATTTAATTTTTGGCCTTCCCATGAAAAACACTATTCACTTCAAACCAAACTTGGAGAAAATTTCAAACATTTTGTTTCTTTTGTTTGAGAATGGCATTCTTCTCTGTTGGTTGTGTAGAAACTCCTGCCCCTTAGTGTAGCTCAGTGTCTTCTCATCTATGTCAGCAGGCACAGGGTTGTATGGTTTGTTTCAGTCCCTAGGAATTACTGGCATTGCCTTATACTGAAAAAAGTTATTTACTGTTGTGGTTTTCACTTCCCACAGGTTGTTTTATAGGTGTTGTTTTGCCTTCTTTAAAGCATGCAATCAACAAGTAATTTGAAATTTATGGCATTCTCATCATGGTTTAAGATGGTCTGCTCCACATTTAAATTCTTTGAGGATTCATAAAGCGGATAAATAGAAGAGGTAGGAGAGAATTTCCGAGAACAGTGGAGGTGAGAGGGAGTGGGGAAGAAATGAGCTGTCCTCTCTGCTGTTTCTCAGCACAAATGTGGCCCAGAGATCATGTTTCTGTAGGAGAGGTGGGATGAGGAAAGGCTTGATGCAGTGTGGTCTGATCTTAAAAGATTATTCTTCCATGATATTTTATAATTAACTCCTTATGGATTCACATCATCTGTTAGATAGTGACCTACTTCACACTTTTTCCATTTGAATCTCTCAGTGAATATTCTCATGTGACTTATCTGATGTCATATGGATTTGATGTTTGGCCATGACAGTTTGATACAGTGCTGCTGGAAATCTCTGCTGGGCTTGTTTGGAATGACAGGGCTTGGCTGTCAGCCCAACCTTGGCCTTTATATTTTTGCTAGGATAGTAACATTTTCTAATGATCACTTTGGTCTGTTTTCTAACACTGGAACAGTAGTGATCATAGAAATTTTAGCAGATGTTTATGCAGCCAAGATAAAAATGACGGCATCAACATTGACTTCCAAACACTGATACCTTACTTTTGTATCTACCTGCTTAGGTAGCATTTGATGCAGTGCCCAAATTCCTGTAACTAAGCAGTCTTATGGTTGCAGTATTGTATGGGAATTTGAAATTGCCTTTACTGCTTAGTTGTTGGTACTTTATATTATCTAGTGCCCTTATTTTAGGTCGGTAATTGCACAAACCCTCAGTGCATTTATCTTTTAACTGGGGGGTGGGCATCCAAACCATGTGACAAAAGGTACTTTCCAAACATACTTGACATCATAGGGTTATGTATTGGAGCTAAGACTGTCCCCCTCCCACCAAATCCCTTGCACGTTTGGTCAAGTTAGTGCTCTTACAAATGCAGCCTATATATGACGTAGCTCTGCACCCACTTCAAAATAACTACGGAAGAACAAGATGCTGTGTTTTTAAAGATGCTTCAGAAAACCAAAATAAATGTTCAGTGACCTACAAATAAAGACTCTGCAGGATACAACATAGGATGTGTCATCAACTTGAGCATCATCAAGATTATGTAAAACAAATCTGTAGGAATCTATGAAGTTTCCCATCTCTGCTCTGCTCCATGTTGTTTTTCGGTTTGAACACATACACATGGTTTATGTATGTATTGTTTTATCCAAATGCATTTTTGACTCCTCTTTCCCATATTACTTTGCAGTTAACTGTCCAGGGTTAACTTTTCAGTGAAACTGTCATGCCACATCTAGTGCTTCTGTAGCTTGATAAGCAGTTGTACTTGTTCATTTACAGGCTATAAGTATATCTGCTTGTGTTTTAGTTCTGGTCACTTCCGAAAGCAATGTATTGAAAACAGAATATTTAAAAGCCATGATTGTTAACCTCCATTTATGTTGCTAACATTCTATACTGGTTATATTTCTGGAAAAAAAAAAAGATTTTATATATTTTGACTGTCATGGCCTACTTCGATTATACGGTTGCTTAGTGTGTATAGTACATTTCATGTTTTTTCTGCTCGTAGTTACCATTTAAAAAATCTCTGAACCTGGCAGCTAATACTTTTACATTATTATTTCTCATCAGAACAGTATTTTCAAAAGTGGAAATGCAGAAGATTAAGCTTTTCCGTCCATTTTTAGTACAGAAGTAAAAAGCTAGTTTTTAAAAATAATGCCATTCAGCTGCTGCTATATGAAATTGGGGGACCCTAATGTATGCTCACTTTGGACAGTAAGGCCACTTGCTTATGTCTTCATGGTATTTATGGCTTTTGTAAATATTTCTCTGTCCTTGATTGCGTTGTGCTGACTACTTGTGCACTAAGCATAATGAATTAATATAAGCTCTTTCCCAGTTTCAGATATTCTGACCTTCAGAATGTTCAAAAGAAATAAGTAAAGAAATTGGTAACAGTGATGTTATTGCTTATATTTGGATCTTACAAGTGTTTAACAAAACATTGTATAAGTGATTCTTATAGCACTTACATTTTGGTTAGCAAGCTCATTCCTATTTCAAAAAATAGGGAAATTGAGGTAAAGAGTTGAAGAGGCCTATTCAGGGTTACAGAGCATGTCTTAGTACACATGAATGATTTAAAGTGTTCTGCATTTGAAACACAAGGATACATGTGTTTCTAATATGTATCTGCATTTTTTTAATGCAGTATTAGGCAGCAGGACAGTGTAATTACTTGCCTGTTATGTTTGGAATATGGTTGTGCTGTCCCTTTGAAGATAACAGTTTTGTAATAATAATAATAATAATAAGGTTGATACCACGAATAAAAACTCCTTTAAGGTTGGACAACTGGAAGAAATTGTGCTCCAGAATTTTTGCGTTTGAATTTAACAATACTTTACCAATATTTTTAGAAAAGATGGTTATTATTTTCTGTGATTTTAGTTATCTTACAGCTCATACTGATTCTGAAGGAGACTCCGAGGAAGAAAAGGGATGTATGAAATCACTCGATGCCATTGTGAATTCAGAAGAAGAAGAAGAGTTATTTAATCTTTTACAGCAGGTGGACGATTTGCACAAGGGTTCAGAGGATGATAAAAAGGAGGGCTTCAGGCTGCTGCTTGAGAAAGATGACAAGGTATTAATGGGTAAACTTAATATTATGTTGCTATTAACTTATGCTTTGCACTGCTTTTGAGAACTTCCTTAATACAAGCATTAAAACGCACACAGGAATGGAAGATGAAATTTCATGTGTATTTTTAAAAAAACAGTGAAAAAGAGGTATTTCAAGGTGGTGTCAATATTCATGCTGGGTAAGCATAGAAATTTTATTGTTTTATATCCCATCCAGGCTCAATAACTTTGAGGCTTTGTTTGACATATGTGTTCTTGCATGAGACAAAGAAAGATCATGGGCTTTTTTTCTACGTAAATGATACTTATTTTGCTGGTTTTAGAATGGTCTATGTAAGAACGTCCTGTGGAATTAAGTAGTAACCAGACCAAGTGTTCTCAAGAAATCAAACTATAAGCCTGTAATTTGCTTATATCTTTCTGGTATACTTTATGTGAATTTTTCCTTTGACTTTACTGTGCACATGTGTAACTCCAGATAAAATTTCAAAGTGGTTTGATGTACAGTGCTTAATTCAGTGTACCACTTTCTTCTGATTTGGCAAACATTAGTTCTGATTATATTTTCATTTACATGTTGAAATACCCCAGAAGGTAGATGAGATACTAATTGCGAGCGAATGTGGTGCTTGTGGCATACCTAAAGAAAGTATACATCGCATCATTCAGGGATCTGTTTTGCTTTACTGCATTACCTTTTTATTTTTTATAATAAAAGAACTTTAAAACTGATTTATGAAATAAAACATCTTTAGACAGCCCAGGGTATTTCCAAAAGCTTTCTTCTCCTTTGGTTGTGAAAAATGGGTCATCTGGTTCTCATGTAAACTAAAAATAGTATAGAAGGATGCAAAATAACCAAAGATTTATGCCATGCTCCAATAACCTGCTTTAACCATTATGAAAGGAAACTGTTTAAATCACATTTTGATCAGTTTAATTACCCAGCTGTCCTCTTCTTTCAGTATGAAAACTGTGTGGACTTCCTTTGGAGACTTGCACGCGCTTATGGAGATCTCTTTGAGATGACTACTGATGCTGAGGAGAAGAGGAAATATGTTACTGATGGTAAGCAGAGGAAAAATGTTTATGTAGAATGCCATCTGAATGTAGTGAAACATGCTTTGAACTTTGGTTAAGTTTTCCAATCCAAGGAATTTCCAGTCCAATAGATGGGAGCATTGTACTGTAATAATAACGTTTTGTGCAATAAACTGCCACAGTATACAACTTCAGTCCATTCTTTCCTCACTGGAGAGATCCAAAATTGGTGAAGAAGTAGTATTGTGGGTCACAGTTGAAGGCTGTTGACTCTGGATGGTGCTTTAAAATCCTGTATTTTGTTGAGAATCGGATGGATACAGAATGTGAAAAAAGACAGATGCTGTCAGCACAGTTTCTTAATTACATCTTTGGGAGAGCGAGAGGAATAAATAAGTGCCAAGGCAAAGTCAAGGTTTGTTTTTCTGCTTTCCTGTGGCAAAGGAGCGCTCCTGCGTATCAGCAGCCTCTTTTGTGGTGATGGTGGGGATGAAACTTTGTGAGTCTGGAAAAACTGTTGACCAGAAACAGGAGTCATGTGTGACAACTGATGTTGCTTCCAGGCATCTCTCCCTATGTGTCCTGTTTGACAGCTTAACCTCAACAAGGTTCTGATTTTCTTCTTCACAGCACTTTTTCTTTGTTGCTTTTAAAAGCATTGCCCTTTCTTTCACTGTCTGGATGCATATTGGCTAGAGGTACAGTACATTTCCTTTTTTGTTTTGGGCCGCCTTCTCTTTATTACAATAAAACCTACATCTTTTCTACCTGTGTCACTCTCCTCCAGTCAACACACTGTTCTTACAGTGATCCTTTTTGCCTGTATCTGGGAATACTTCTCTCTCCCCTTTGTTTCTCCATTGCCTCTCCCTTTTTTGCTGCACCAAATTCAGGTTTTATAAGAGTATTCCAAGTTCAGGTTATTTTGTCTTTTGTGACTCTTCCCATTTTCTACTTTTTGTTCTCTCAGCAGTGACGACATCACTGACAAAGCAGTTTTGGCTGCCCTTTGTCATCCTTAAAGACAGTGTCATGCCTTTGTGCTGTCATTACATATTCCATAGCCAGCCTCAGCTTGTCCAAAGTCCTTGTCCCTATCCTTTTGTCATCTAAATACTCATGAAGACTTGCACTGTCTTAGCTACTTAATTGATACGGTCTTTGCTTTAGTAGCAACTGGGCTTCTTTGTATGGAAATCGCCCAGTGCAGCGAGGATTATGACAGAAACTAAATTACAACAGTAAACTCTGTTGTTGGATTCTTTGCTTTTACCAGTGACTATGTGTAGCCTCAGTTGATGAAAGATAATGACATAGCAAAAGACAGGGAGAGATAAAGAATGATGGAATGAAATTGGGTCTTAGGTGTAACCAGCCTAGTTTGGCTCATTCTCATGAAATGGTGGGTGGCGGCAGCCTTTTTCGTCTCGGTTTTTGGAAGTGGTGCAGAGGGATTGAGACTGTGGGGGAGCTGGCAGTAGTTTCATGGGTTTTTTTTCATTCCACTGGGTTGGAGGACTGTATGCTGTTCTTTGTTTTTATGAAGTTAACTTGCAATACAGAAATGTCAGTGTGGCTTAATTGGTTGCAGCTGAGACTTTGCAAACAGCAAGCATCTCATCTGAACTTCTTACTGGGAGTGTGGGTTTGATCAAATCACCTACTGTCATCTTTATTCAGTTAAAAGTGGAACTTAATGGAAGTCTTTGTGCTGGAAAGGAACTTCAACTAGTTCATTCCTGCACCCAAGGCAGGAAACAGCTTTGCCGGTTCTTCTGACAGGTGCTTCTCTAACCTGCTTTTAAGGGTCTTCAGCCTTACAGACAGCACAGCCTCCTTTGGCAGTCCAGTCCAATCCTTCCCTGATTTAGCTGCATCTGAATTGGATTTTAAGAGAAAATACTAAAATTGCACCCATATATATATGCGCACATATTTATATATGTGTGTATGGGTATGTAAATGATGTCAAGCCAGGATGTTACATTGTCTGTCTAAATGTTTACAAGAGCAGGAAGCAGTTTTTTCTTTGCAGCTAGAGTATATCAGGTTGCTTCGTTCTTGGGAGTTGCCTAAAATGTGGAAGAGTACAATAAATCCTTTAATATATTGTATTCCATTTACAGGAAAGATTAAAGCTGAAAAGGCTGTTCAACTGGATGCCAGGAGTGCTGAGAGTCACCAGTGGTAAGTTTGAGAAAGTGTGCATTTTTGCAGTTATACTTATTTATCAAATCCAACAAAAAAAACCAGCTGTCTTTGGCTCTATATAGTGCCCACAGCAAGTTACATTTATCATGCTGCAGTTTGATGTCAATTTCATAAATTATTAATTAATATCTTTTCATAGGTTTGTGAAACTCAGTTATCATCAGTTGCAGCTAAAAATTACACTGAAGTATTCTGTGAAGCTTTTACTATAGCTTGGGAAACAACTCCATAACCATACTTCAGTACGTACCATGAAATGTAGAAGGGAGTATTTGCTTAAAGCAGTATATTATTGCTCAGAGAAGCCATAGTTTTCCATTTACCTTCTCTTTCAACACTTTGCAAAATAATGTCATTTGACCTCGTATTTTGTCCTTTCCTTACTTGTAATAATGTAAATTCTAATAATTGAAAATAGACAATGAGAGGACTATGGAAGTTTCAATTAACTTCTCAATTTTTGTTTTATCATGTCATTTTCTTCCAAGTTTGGCACTTGGATTAATTTTTTAGACTTGCCAGGACTAAGAAACTCTTTGCAAGTGTAAATATTTTTTAATCAAATCAACATTATCAGGTAAAAGATAATTCTGCTGACTTCTAGCTGATAGTTTCTCACCTTTATTTTATTAATCAATTTTACTGAGCTCCTCATTTCTTTTCTAATATTGTTAGCTTTTCCTTTCTATTTTGGTTTCTATGTTCTTCATTAATGTTGTCATTACACCTGTAGGCTGGGATTTCACTTAATTTTTACATATCTAAACCAAATCCTTTTATCCCAGGCTGCCTTCACAATCTCAAAAGGAGTGGCCGCTTCTGGAGTGCAGTTCATCTGAGTCCATTTTGGCCATCTGCATTAGGGTGAGATGAATTTCTCCTGAGGTTCAGTTGACAACATCTCCATTGCCAATAAAGGGAGTACATGTCAGCTAGCTCAGGTTTAGATACTTGATTAGACACAGATGTTTTCATTTAATTAGGTGACTCTCTGGCTTGGTCTCTCTCTCCTAAACTTCAAAGATGGCTATGTTATTGTTCCACGCTGTGTTCCTGTGAACGATGCCATATTTCTATGATTCTTTTTCTCTTTCTGTTTATAACAACTAGCGATCCGAACACCCACTTTGTAACCATGGGGTGCTAGGCGTGGTGTGCTGTGGGAATCTTGACTAAGCTTCACTGTCACAGACAGATTTGCATTTGCTCTTTCTGATGTCTTGGAAGCAATGATGATGCCTGCCTGGAGGTGAAGCCTAGGCCCCAGGTGGCTATAATGTGGCAGTTTAAGATAGGAGCCTTTGTTTTTGGCCTTACCCAGCTGCTTGTTAATTCCTATCAGCTGGAGGTTGCCACTGTGGCAGCAAAACTAACAGGAGAGGATCATCTGAGCATCACTCCTCGGTGCAAGGTGATTTGAAGCCCATATAGCTTGAACACCTGCTGAAAGCAATTCACAGCCATTTCTGCTGTTTGTCTGACCACAGCCATGGTCACTTCTTCAGGGTAATGCTGGTGTACCCCTCTTAGCTAGAGCTATGTGTATAAACAACCACAAAATCACATGCAAGCACAAGTCCTGCCTCTCCCTGCCTCTCCCTACCTCCCTCCTCTCCTCCCCAGCCCATGAGACTGAGAAAATCTCCCAGTATAAATACAACTTCACTGGCAGAAACTACGCTGATAGAAGCTTATGTATTGTTCAGGGAGATGTAGGTGGTCTGCTGGACTTCAGATGTGAGATCCTGTACTGGCAGGCACATCTAGCAAGGGAAGAATTACGAGTGCAAGGAGATGTGTTCCAGAGGTTAGCTCAGAAAGCCTACTTGAGAGGTTTAAGAGGAAAATCTTATGTTTTGTAAGCTACTGCTTCTTGTAACAGACAATGGATTTCTGTGTGCTTTACAGTTTTCATCCTTTTTGTACCTGGGTTGCAAGTGAATGTGAGGGTTTTATCAGTTACTGTTGAACTGGTGGCTTTTAGTGATGTAGATGGACACCACAGATTTGAATAGTTTGGTATAATATTTTTTTCCCTGAATATTTTATCTGCTTGTCTTTCTTTTCTGAAGTCCTTCTGACTTGATGCATAATTTTTAAAGTGTGATGCCCCACCCTGGTTATGCCACTCTAACTGAGGCTCTAAATACTGGGCAGAATGGACTTCCATGCTCCAGACAGGCATTTGTATGTTTTTGTCTAGCCTGCCAACTGTTGTGCAGTCTGTGGTTCCAGTAGATCTTTTTCTGCTGTGCTGCTGCTTAACCAGATGGGCTTGTTTTGTAACTACATTTCTTTTTTTGTCTTTGATAGAGTACTTTACACACATTTCATTGATTTCATGTTGATTTCAGACCATTTGTCAGGTTTATTGAGGCGATTTAGGTTTGTAAATGCTTGCATCCCCTCCCAGATTACAATTTTATTTTAAAAGTGTTTTGTTGTTTTGTGGGTTTTTTTAAATCATTGGCTTCATTAATGAAATTACTGGAAGATAACGGACCTGGCACAAAACTTTGTGGAACACTTATAATGGTGGTCAGGTTCACATGAACCTGGTTCTGCAACCATCTACAGGTGATAGAATCTAAGTGATATTTCCATGCTTAGATTTTGAGGAACATCAGGTAGGACAAAGTCAAAGGCCACATTAAGGTCAAGCTGTACCCCATTTGTTGCATTCCTCTAATATTCCAGGCTTCTTTATCTTGTCAGAAAAGAAAAATATTTTTGTTTGATACTGTTTGTTCATGACAAACTTGCATTAACTGTTTGTATGCTTCTGCACTTACAGAATAATTTATCCTGGAATGCTTTCAGGTTAGGCTGGTTTGTCCATAATCTACCTCTGTCCTTTCCTTTTTTTCCTGTAGATAGCAACTACATTTGCCTTTTTCCCTTCTGCTGGGACTTTCCGCAGTACCCAGGAGATTTTGGTAGTCAGCTGAATGTCAGATCTGGATTGTTTGAGTCTGGCTGATGCAAATTTATGTGGTTTATCTAAACATTATTTTACATGTTAATCCCCATGAACAGGAAATAAGACTTCAGGGAATCTTCCCTGTAGAAACTGTGCTCTCAAAGTTGTATGCAAACAGAATTTTGCCTAAAATCAAAAATACTAAGACTGTGTGTGGACAGAAAACAGTGCAATACAATTAAGGCATGAAGAAATAATACGTGAAAGTAATATGAAATCCATAGTTTAAAAGGATAATAAGAGAGAAAACAAAACTTGAAAGAAAAAATAGAATAAATATACAAAAATACTAGGATCACTAGTGGGTCGTCACTTAAAGAAGAATGGCGTACCAGTTTTACTTAAGGTTAGAGATGAAGGGCAGTACCCAACTCCAGATTGACGCCTGTACTGTCTCCATTATATGTCTACATGTGAGTGAGGGACTTGTCCTCCACTTATAGGGGCTGGAGAGTTAACATTTAATAGGCAACATGTGCCATTTGGTGTGCCAGGATATTTGCATGACATGGCAGATATCACATAGGACCTTTGGGGGTCTGTACCCTTCCAGGCTGGCAGCTGGAAGTGGTGGGAAACCCCAGGGCATCTGCGGTGGCAGTAGGCACCTGTGTTCAAGCAGGGATCCTGTGAATTGAACAGGGTCTCGATTGGCTGTAATAGGAGATTAGATACACAGATGAGAAGCTCAGCATGAATGCAAACTCAGTGTGAAAGCAATGCTGTCTCAGACCAAAATCCTTCCTTTTTGTCTCACCACCAACATAAAAGTTTCTTAAGCTATATAAGGTAAATAATCTTAGCCTGTGTAAGATAAGCCTATCTGTTTGTTAGACAGTTTTCTCATTTTTCACGTAAGGTTATCTCATTCTGTATTAGCTACTGCTGAGGAAGCTGGCTTTCTGACCTTGCCTAAGGAAAGTTTTGGTTGATTTCTTACTAATCTGTACTTTCTTATTTCTGAAGGGTTTTGATATTTCCTATCAGCACAACTGAGGTTTTAACTCACGTTTGGTATAGCTGCTATCTATATTGTCAACTCATGCATTATTTCTAATGTTCTCTTAAACTGTTTAATATATTATGGCTTACTAAATGAGTGAGGATTAAATGATAGGCCTGTTCTTTTCCTGGTCCTGTTCCTTGCTCTCCACTTACAGTTAACCCTTGGGGGGTAGGGGAAATATAAGCGAAGAAGAAATTGAATTCAGCCTTTTTGGTTTCATCTTTTGTAATTTTTTCCTCATTGCTAATTGTTCCGTACTTTCATTTATGTATCTTTTCCTTCTGCTGTATTTATAGAGCCTCTTCTTATTGCCTCGTATGTCTCTTGTGAATTGCAATTCAGTTTGTATTTAGCATTTCTGATATATATATCTTTAAATATGCCATCCAGTTCTGAGATATATATATATATATCTTTAATACCTGTCCAATATCCCTAGCTTAGCCGTGTGCTCTGATTTTCACATGTAGGGTCAATTACTTTTGGATTTTTAAGACAATAGAGAGCACCTCCCTGGAGCTGAGTTAGTCTTTAAAACTATTTCCTGCCTTTCCTCTGCATCAAAAAGGGTCACTTGCTGCTGTGCTTTTGAATATTGTCTCTTAATAATTCTTCTCTAGAACTTTTTATAACATGGCACTTTTTTATGGTTTAGTTTTCTTCGTTAGAAATGTACATTGTGCCTGTCAGGCAAGGATTAGGGCTATAGACCTCTTTGAAAGTTTCTTTTGGAAGCTTATCCCTGCTGCTTGACAGTCTGTTTACCGCAAAAATATGTCTTTGTCACACCCTGACTGACATAACTGTTCCAGTAAAGCCCTAGTGTAGACAGAATTATACTGGCAAAAACATCCCTTTTCCAGAGCAGGGTTTCTTCCTGTTTTGTGGAACTGCTATAAGCTGGCTGGGAAATAGAATGTATCTTTTGCTCCACCAGGAGAATTTAGTGAAATGGTCTCATGAGCAAACTCTTGCTAATGTAGGCCTAGA